TTTATTTGTCAATATGTTGTCAAAATCTGTCTTTATTTGTCTTTATTTGTCTAATGTATGTCTTTATTTGTCTTTATTTGTCTGTATTTGTTTTTATTTGTCTTTATTTGTCTTTATTTTGTCAAAATTTGTCAACATTTGGCTGAGCTGCCTCCAAAACCTATATAAATCTAAGTCCCCTATATCTAGGTCGCCGCAACCGGTCAATGACTAAACCCTAAGTGCAAATACTGTTTTCGCATGTTTAGGGTTCGGGTTTGGAGCTTGCAAGGCGTTGGAGGACGGAGGGCTTTTAGAGTCTGGGACCCTAGGATTTCGACGGTTTCGGGGGTTCGGCTCTAGGCTTTTTGGTGTTTTGGGTTAGGGCTTAGGGGTTTAGGGTTTAGGGTTTAGGGCTTCGGGTTTAGGGGTTTAGGGCTTCGGGCTTAGGGGTTTAAGGCTTCGGGTTTTGGGTTTGAGGGGTTTAGAGCTCAAATCCAAACACTTTCGGTAGTCATTCTGACCCCTATATATCGGGATCATCGACGCAGAAATGCAGAAGCTCCGTTGCAATTAGACCTCAGTAGTGATTCTGCATCTGTCTCAAAACATTTCCGCAAAGCGGGCCATTGATGCCATCATCAATGCATCAGCCAAGTCTACATTGCCACCAGCCTTTGGGGATAAAACTTCCTCCTGAGGTAGACCCAGAACCCAAACGCTCTTAGCCAAGCCTAGATCCTAACGTTCTAAACCATAGCCCACCCTCCCCCCTCCTATACTTGCCTCAGCCATCGTATCCCTGAAGCTGCAGACTCCACCCTGAAGCCTAGACCCCATCTTTTCTGGGATACCGGCTGTATGGGTGCTTCTGTCTGGAAAGTCCACACCAGGGACCCATCGAATTCGGAGACTGCGTAGAAAGTTCCTCGAAATGGCGGTTTGGATGTTCGGGTGTGGGGTTCTAAGAGTTTTAGGGTGTTGTTGTGGTTTGAGGCTTGAGGGATAGGGATTAGGGTCTCGGGTTTTCGAGCGTTAGAAGGTGTTTGGGCGCAGTTCTATTTAGGGCTTCAGCGGCAAAGCTCAGACACTTGGGCAAAGCATGTTCGCGACTCTGCCTTTGCTCCGGCCATTGTTGCAGCTGGCAGCACTCGATGACGGCTTCTTACGATACACCCTTTAATGCTGCTGGTAACGGTGGCGACTCTGGATCCTTCCCATTCTTCTTTTCTTCCTGCTTCGCTCGCAACTGCTACTACTTCCACTCAATCTCACATACCTGCAGGGAAGGCATCGAAATTGTTACTACTGGTCATGGCCGCAGCTGAATCAGTATGGGATTGTGAGCCGGGGCACCATTGTCGGACCCGAAGAAGATCTTCCCATCGTCCAGCGCAGGCGAGGACTTGATGGATGAACCGGCGTCGAACTCCCAAACCAACTCGCCTGGAATCACTCGTCGCGACTTGTTTCAGCTTACCTCCGAGGTTTGTTTGGAGGGTCGCGCGTGTCTACCAGGTTCAAGCTGCATGCTCAACCAAACTGCTGCATAAAGCATCTTCACATTGTTCCTTACGAACATAAAGCTGGTGCTCGTCGACTCTTCATGGATTTTGGAGACATGCCTGGGCAATCGCACAGGTCGTTTGCTTTCAGCAAAACCATCTTCTCCCCTCCTGTCTGAAATCCAATCCGTCCCCTATGCGCATTTCTAGGAACCCGGACCGAAGGCACTGTGTAGTCGGAAACTCTGAACGCTATCATCTCAACTTGGCCCGTCCTTGCAGCAACTCCAAGTAGAAAACTACAGCACGGTTGAAAAAGCCTATCTAACGCTATTCTTGTAAAGCTTTCCAGGATCCCCAAAAAGCCCAACATAATCGCTGCTTGCACCAGATCCTTTAAACAGAGGGACCCTAAACCCGAAATAGCTCATGTAAAGAGGCCTTTCTAGCAAACTTCTGATCAAGAATGTAGTAGCTCCTGCCTGCCAGCGCACTCACTGCATACAGCTTGCCATCAAGAGAGCCTGAATTTGCATTTAGGGCTTGGGGCTTTAGGGTTTAAGAAAGAGGCCTTATTTAGAATAGGGTGTTGGGGCAAATTATACTATAATTATAATAAGGACCCCCCCCCCGGAAGTAATATTGGTAATGCTTAAGACCCCTGTAACCCGAAATCCTATAAACCCTAAACCCTATCTTAGGCTTCACAAGGGTCTTTTTTGCCGGAGGGTTACAGGCTGAAGACTCAGATTTTGGGTGCGTTGAAGGAGTGCAACCCAGTCTCTGGGGCCGCAGGGGTTGAGACTTGCGTGGATGAGCGTAGGAAGGCTTAGGGTTTTAAGGTTTAGGGTTTAGGATTTAGGATTCAGGGTTTAGCGTTTAGGGTTTAGGGTTTAGGATTCAGGGTTTAGCGTTTAGGGCTTAGGATTCAGGGTTTAGGGTTTAGGATTTAGGGGTTAGGGTCTAGGGTTGGTTCACGCCGTCAAAGTAGACCCCCCAAAACCAGACGGGACTGATCCGAAGCAAGAGGCAATGAGTCGGTACTGAGCAAACTGTTGAAAGCCCGTTTAGAATGATAGGAGATGGTAGATGCATAGTCTCTTCAGCTACAGTCATGTCTTTCAGTGCTTCCAGCTACTCACCATTCAGTCTGGTTCCATGGAAGCCGCAATGCTGATTCTCTGCAAATTTCTGGAAGGCACAAGGCAAGGAAGTGCTTCTGATCATTCAGAACTAACCCGACATCGTAGATCGGACTCTCTTCCCCATGGGTGTTTAGATTTTGAACAGATTTCTATGTTCTGCTGGGAGTGCCTCGAACCCTTCTAAAGCTGTAGTAAAGGCTGGCAGGCTATACACCCATATCCTAAACTTCGGGATCTTGTTTTGAGAACCTATCTTTTGGTTGAGTTCCTATATGAAACTAAGGTAACCAACAAAGGTGCACCTTTTGAGGGTCTAGGCAAGCAATCTTCATCAGCCTCAACTGTCACCATGCACGGTTGCATGAACTCTTCCAGGGTTAGCATGAAAGCACACTGTTCAAGTTTCAATCACCCCCTACCCATCCCTAAACCCCTCGCTAAATCCCAAACCCTAGAATCCACATGAACTTAAGCCAGTGCCCTTCGAAAAGGTAGTGACACGCGAGTTATATGCTCATGCCACACCCAGATAGCATTGATGGAGCCGGGGACCGAAGTAGACGATGAGGTTGAACACCTGGCGGGAGTCGTTTGGGCGTGGTTAGCTGGCCAAAAGACTCGGACTAGCTCACAAGAACGAAGCACTTTGGAAAGAGGACCGGAATGAGACCAAGCCTGAGGAAAATTGAAAAGCTTGTGGTCCAAATATGCCTGAATTGGGCGCCTTAAATGGTTATCGCAGGTTTTGAAATCGCTGGTAATGAGGCCTTGTTCATCTTACAGAGCGCTCCAATCCCCAAACCCGAAAATCAAGCCCGCTTAGACCTAGTCGTGAAACACTGGCCGACAACTCATGCCCACAACTCTTCGAAAGAGCGCGGAAATCGTCGCTCCCGGGTTTAGGGCTTAAGTTTTAGGGAGACTGTGACAGAGTCTATCGTATAATATCGGAACAGTGAACTCAGCTTAGGGCTTTGGGTGCAAACGTTTTGAGGATGCTTTTTTTTCACATCTTGGAACGTTTGAAGTCGGTAGCTGTGAGAAGCAAAGATGAAGATTTCAACTATAATTTCATGTACAACGCAAGACTCGTGCGGAGCTCCGAGAGAGGCGTAGGGGCCGGTACTGTGAGGACAGCAAGCATCTATGGCGAGGGTGTTCTAATTCTGGCAATCGTTCGTGCATCTCGGATGTAGGTATCTTGTACTGCAGTGCGCAACGCCGACGGACAATGCCCCTACGGTGGCATTGACGAATGGATTTCGCCGAACTGGTATTGTCTTCTTGGACATCCCACTCTCGCCAAGCCACAACGGGCGAGCAGTGGACGGCTGCTTCGGTGCGAAATTCCCAGACCTGCTCCGCAAGAGGTTGAAACCCTAAGCAGACCAGTCACTGCACTCCGAGCCTTAGAGCCATAAGCCCTTAAAGCCCTAAACCTCGTCAAGAACCCGTGATACCCTTCAAGTCCTCCCCTAAACTCTGCGACCCTTACTGAACCTCTGAAAGCCTAGACGTCGAGGATGCACCGACATGTGAGACCACTGGACAGTCTTTCTGTGACCAACTATGTCTACATTCTTATATGTGGGCGAACAGCTGCACAATCCCAACAAGTGAAAATAGGACATAGATGACTACACACGGAGGGGTGATATGTGTGTACATATAACATGCAGCTGTATACATATATATATATAGATACACATACACACAGACAAACATTATACTAGTGTATATATACAAACGGCCAAGGCTGGATCGCACACTCCGATGGCCCTGGCACTTGGCTGTGGAGTTTGGAGGCCGTGATCCACCTCCAGCCCCACACCAAAACGGGCCTTCGAGTAGTTTTCCCTAGGGTCAGGGTTTACGGTTGGCACAAGCCTGACAACAACAAACTTCTGTGGCACCCTGGTCAGACCAGACGTGAATGATATGAACAGTTATCAGGCCCACTTGTGTTATGCCCTAGCGCCGGCTGCCATCTGGGCATAACCCGTCATACTGAAGCCTCTACCCGGACTCTGAGAGTATCATGAATAGTGATTAGAACAGTCGTGGTAGTAGCAGTGCCCGTCGGGAAAGGGACAAATTGAAAGAACCTGCAGCAGTAGCGGCACCATCAAACAAAACACTGTTTTTTCTCAACGCAGTCCTTACAGTTGTTGTCCAAGCTGTCAAACTCACGCTATGCCCCCCCACCCCCCGGGTCAAATCTCTAAACCCTGCACCGTCGCCGCATATCCCACAGTTGAAAGCTGGCCGCCTTCTTGCCGTCCACTTCATCCAAGGCATAGAGACGCCAGTCTGAAGATCCTACAAAGACCTTGTCAAGACGCGAAGTTTCGGTTTAGGGTTTAGGTTTAGGGGGATTTGGAGCTAAGATCGTCAGTACCGCAAGGTTTTGGACCTTACGGTTTTGGGCTAGATGCGATCATTGCTTCAGTGCTGTGGGCTCAGGGCTGAGAGGGCTCGAGGCTTGGATGGTTTGCATTTCAGTGGCTCGGGGTCTAGATTAGGCTTTACATAAAGTAGACTTTGGTGGGTTTAGGGATCAGGGCTTAGGGTTTGAAGTCGAGATCTGAGCTGGATTGGATTCGGCCGGCAACTCGCTCGAATCAGGGATTTGTTTGGTCTGATGGGGGCCTCATGACTATTGCTGCTCTGGTAGCCTGTATTGCTAGCAAAAGCGGCCACGACGAGCAGGGTAACAGTCTACTTAAGGTGCTTACTACAGTAGTTTCCGTTGTTGTGGCGGTGGTGTAGCTGATTTATTGTTCAACCGTGAGCATCAGTGGACGAAAACTCTGTCCCAGAATCCGCGACTCCGAACCCAAACCGCAAACCCGAGGACCCGAAACCCCTAAACCCTAAACTCCTTTCTGCCGCAGCGCGAGATTATTGCTGATGGTAGGGGGCGACAGGATGCGGCCCTGCGTGGTAAAATGCCTGAGAAGCTTTGGGCAATGGTCCAGAGTCCTTAACTCCCTTCCCTTTCCATCCCTTGCCAAACCGCCCCCTCCCCCCAAAAAAAACACATCCAGGTCTCGTCTGACTCCCTAAGCCGAGAACACCTTAAACTCCAAAACCCTCAACACTGAACCCTAAAACACTAAACAATACTTCTGCGGAGGGACTTCGATAGTTCGGATGAGGATTCTGCTGTACATCTGTCATAGCCATGTGCATTTCCAGGGCTAGGCTTCAACTAAGAGGCCTGAGGGCCCCCCCCCCCTTAGGCTGCAAGGTGCGGTGTCCTAGGATGTAGGCATAGATTTCATTCCTGGGTGCTTTGTGCTTGTGCAAATTGAAGCAGCTGTTTGCAGAAGATGCCAAACTGAACAACTTCACAAACCCCCGAGGGTTAGAGTTCAGTGTTTGTCGCTACACACTGCGACTCCTTGCTTAAACCCGAACTCAGTACGGCTGCTGCTGATCCGAAACTCATGAGTTTTTCAGTCAGAGACTTCACACATCGAGGGCTTAGGGCTGTATGGCTGAGACGCTTTTGGGACGGCTTGCTGTCCAGGGAGTTGTGTCGAGTTATACCATTGCACATACACGGTGTTTGCAACAATCACGGGTCCCAAACGTGGCAGCCTTGAACTGATCAATCAAAGACTCTCAAGCCCTTCTTCTTGTGCTCTGTAGGCTTAGTCAAACTTCTTCGTGGCACCGGAAGCCAAAAGCTATCTGAGACCGACCATAGGATTGCAGCCTGAGTGGCCATGCATACTCGCCGTTATCCTCTCTCACCGCATAGATCTTCCGGTCGTTGGACCCAAAAAAGACCTGAACTCGAGCTCCCAGAGTCTCAAGCTGTGATGGTTTTTCCTAGGGTTTACATAGGGCTTATAGTTTAGGGATGGGGTTTCGGACCGCAAGTGTGCCCTAGCCAGATTCGCGGCAAGGGCGGGCTCTTGTCACCGCCCCTTCCTGGAGAAACCTGGAGCTAGGGTTGTCTGTTCTTAATTTGAAACTGTATGTAGGGTCTCAGCTTGGGTCATGATTGCCCACGGCAGCGAGGCAGGCTTTTGATGCTGAGAGAAAACAAGAACAAAAGCACAGGGCAACAAGCAACGCCGAAAAACAAGAACAAAAGCACAGGAAAACAAGCAACGCCAAATGGCCGAGATGCATGCTGCCTCCTGACGGTGGGTGAGGATTGAATCGCATCCGCCGCGCTGAACCTCGTCAAAGGACCCAAACGGCGCGGATCAGACTCCGAGACCATATGACACCAGGGTCCCGCTGTTCACCGGCCGCGCAGGCTCCGAACGAACCCTGGCCTTAACCCTACAGGGCCCCGGCCTGCTACCAAAATCCGAGATGCAAAAGAATGCTTTCAACTTTGGGGCCACAAGATGGAGCACGCCCTGAACCACCTGAACATGGGGACCTGCATAAGAAGAATGAGGTCTTGTGGTATGTTTTGACATGGCCACACCAAGGAACCCTCTAAGGATCGCGTCATTATCCCGACGCTTTGCCGTCAGAACTCCGCTTCTAGCACCTGACATTACATCGCTTACCTATGCACTTTCCTAAACCCTAAACCAGAAACCCTAAACCTTGAACCCTAAATCCTAAACCTTAAACGCTAAATCCTAAACCTTAAACCCTAAATCCTAAACCTTAAACCCTAAATCCTAAACCTTAAACCCTAAATCCTTAAACCCTAAACCTTACAGAACGCGTAAAAATACGCCCGTATTCCGACGCACCCTCAAACCTTAAACCGTGCTTTGGTTGTTGAGTCGTTAGCGGAGACTGCAGATTTTCTCGTGCGAGGAGCTCCCAGGCCACGGTGCCGTCTGTGCTGTCCACGGCATACCTCAGTCGGAAGGTTTTAGAGTTTAGGGTTTAGGGTTTAGGGATCCTTGAAAGGGAACCTTAAAGGGATCCTTAAATTAAAGGGATCCTGAAGGGGATCTACAAGTGGTTTAAGCTTTCAATCTCGGGCTTCAGAAAGTTATTAACGCGTGTGTAGGGTCGCAATCGATTTCAGGCCCAGTTGCTTTAGATGGGATCTCCATGAGCTGAAAACTAGTCGCATGTAAAGAAGCCTTAAGAAGCCTTAATTAACAAAGGGGCCATAAGCATGAAGGGCGTGGGAACCAAGTTCAAACTACAGACTGCAGACCCTCTAGACCCTAAATCCCTACAGTAGAGCCCTACAGCCCCAAACCCCAAAACGCCCGCGAGCAGGAACCATTATCCCCAAAAACTGCCTTCTACGAGAAAAAGCAAGACCCAAGACCCTGATGCCAAGACTTCCTACAGGGACCTGCCTGGGAGGATGATCTGAAATTTGTTGGCGTTTAGGGTAGACCCGTGATGAATAAACGCCCCTTCTTCTAGGGCGCGAATATTAAGATTTAGGGTTCGGGGTTTCTAAACAAACACTTCCTTGACGTTCCGGGGTTTATTGATCGGGGGTTTGCATTTAGGCTTGGCTATTGGAAGCTGGGTTGGAGGCGTTTTTGCAACAGCCGCCTAGCTGAGTCCACGCGCCGTAGGCAGTATATAGGTCCAAGGCTGTGCGTTAAGGCGGTTGGCTTGAGGCTTTCGGGGCTCTGAACTCAGGAGCATGACGGGGCTAGTATATCTAGGTGACATGTTTCGGATTATTAGTTCTCCGTCCATTGCAATAAACCTCTTCATCTGTACACCCTGAACCCTAAACCGGAAGGAAGCCCTGCTCCCGGGTGCTGAGGGACAAGGGCTTCAGCAATGCGTTCGGGGCTTCTTAGGGTTAGGTGGGCAGGTACAGGTCTGGTGCCAAAAGGGTTTAGGGTTGGGGTGCTTTAGTAAAGCTCAGTAATTGGTTTTGGATGTCTTTTGCACGACCATGGCGGGCCCACAAAGTGGAAGATCTCAAGCTGGGATCCCTGACCTACCGGGACAAGTCAAAGGAATCAAAGCCGTTCAGAACTCAGCCTTGAATCGAAGACGTGGTTGCTAATAACAGTACATGCAAGTCGAGATCTCGACATCCCTACTAAACCCTTTTGGTCCTAACATAAACCCTAAGCATCACTGAGCTTGCGCCGTAGCTGCATTTTGCCACTGTCAGTGCCGAAGAAAACCTGCAGCTGCAAAAGTTGCCAGGGGGGCAGCTGCACAGTAGAGTTCTCGATGGTTCCCTTTAGGGTTCCCACAGGGCGAGCACAAGGGTTACGATGAGTGAGGGTTCTGTGATCTGCAGGTCTGAATAATTGGAAGATGTTCTTGTGAGATATATAATATATAATAGAATTTTATATAATATAGTATAGTACAGTATAGTTTAGTATAGTAAAGTAAAGTATAGTATAGTATAGTTTAATATTAGTGTAATATTAATATTAATACAATATAATATAGTATAATATCTTATCATATAATATAATATAATATAATATAATATAATATAATATAATATAATATAATATAATATAATATCATATAATATCATATCATATCATATCATATCATATCATGTCATATCATATCACATCATATAATATAATATAATATAATATAATATAATATAATATAATATAATATAATATAATATAATATAA